GGTTAGTCAAAGCGGACAATATCTTGCTACGGGGTTCTGGGGGCGTTACACACATAAACTTTTATGGTATCAGAGCTACGGTTCTGACTCTTTTTACCCTACCATCCGATTTTTTTTTTCCATCCTCTTCTCATCCCAACCCTTCGATTCTGATCTAACACCATGACAAAGTCAGATGACAAACCTGAAAGCAGTTCTTCTGCCAAATCTCTCCACCCCGCCTATTCGGTTTCAAACATTCAGACCAAGTTCCGCACGTTAGACGGGTCTAAAGTTACATACTCCTCTTGGGTGAAACTCTTTAGGTTTCACGCCATCGCCTACAAAGTCTTGGATCATCTCAATGATACACCTGCCCCCAGCCAACACAGATCCCTCTTACGAATCTTGGAAGGAGTTAGATGCCCTTGTTTCTCAATGGATCTACAGTACAATTTCTGACGATCTTCTTGTTCGAGTTCTTGACACTGAAGCATCTGCACGAACCACCTGGCTCAAACTCGAAAAGATTTTCTTRAGCAACAAGCAAGCCAAAGCCGCADCCCTGGAAACCCGATTTGTCAATCTCACRCTTGCTGCCTGTAATTCGGTGGAAGATTATTGTCAACAACTCAAAGATTTGGCCAACCAGCTAGTTGATATTGGCCAAACCGGTTCCCAAGAAGCGTCTTGTATTACAGCTTGTTCGAGGTTTATCCCCCGAATTTGATACTACAGCATGGTTGATCAACTCCCAGGATGCCGATTGGGATCTGGCCCTTACCATGCTTACCGACGAGGTGATACGTCTTGAAGGCCGGAAACAACAATCCTCATCAGTTCTTGTCACTCCCGCAGCTCCTGCCCCTACTCTGATCCAACAGCAGTCCGCTCCGAACAGTAGCAATACCTCTCAACAGCCACAGTCTCAATACCGTGGCAGAGGACGTGGACGTGGGAACCGAAACTCTCAATCTAATTGGGCATTTCAGAATAACTCTTACCCCCAATGGGCTTGGTGGAACACTCCACCTTGCCCTTACCCTACACAAACCACATGGAAACCTAATCAACCACCACAATACCCGTCCACGATCCCATCGGCTAACTATGCAGGCTTCCCTCCTCCGGGTCACTTTGGCAGCACCCAACACCCAGCTTTCACCGTGTTTGACGCATTGAATCCTTTTGATTTAAGTGCTGCCTTTAATACCATGCAGTTGAACTACACGGATCCCAACTACTACTTCGACACCGGTGCTGAGCAACATGTCACTGACAACCGAGGTATGATCCAACATCCTAATTCTTTTCCTGTTCACACGAAAATTCTTGTTGGTAATGGCAATGTTTTACCTATTGCGGGGTCCGATACTGGTTTTCTTCCTATATACAACCGTAACTATATCCTACCAAATATTCTTTACAGTCCACAAATCATCAAAAATCTTCTGTCTGTTCGTAAGTTTACCCGTGACAAAAATCATCAAATTTCATAGAATGATTCTCACCCAATTTAACCGTCATATTAAAACTTTCCAATGTGACTTGGGTGGTGAATTTGACAACCATGCTTTTAAGGACTTTGCCCAACAGCACGGCCTCTTGTTTTGGTTTTCTTGCCCGCGAACATCTTCCCAGAACGGCCGGGCTGAACGTATGATTCGACACCTCAATGATATCATTCGTGCTT